TTTGTTCTTCTAGCAGTTCATGGTGCTTGCAGTGTTCTTTGCCAACGCCAATATTCAAGTGCATCAATTCTGTGGTCTTCCTTCTCCATGGGCCAAGGTTCACATGCATATGAGGCAAATGAAAATACCATGGCATGGGTCAGGCGCACCTTAGTCTTCAAAGCCACATCATTGTCTTCAGCACTTTACAGAAGTCGTGTGCAGCACATTTGCCCAATCAAATATGTATTTGATTTTCCTCACTGCTGCTTCTATGACACTTGATTGTGGATCCAATTGAAATCCTTGATAAGTTCAGTCTTTTCTCCATTTTTCACAATGCTGTCGATTAGTCCAATGGTGAGAATTTGAAATTAAATTGTAGTTCATCCTGAAGGCTGTATTTTGTACTGAAATTTAATATTTCCTATTGAAGACATTGATCATCAGCAAGTACTTCAAATACTCCTCAATTTCAGCAAGGAAGGCTGTGTTTTCGGCATATCATAGGTTATTAGTAGCTTTTCCCCTGATCCTGATGCACATTCTTCTTCATATAGTCCAGCTTCTCTGATTGCTTGCTCAGTATACAGATTCAGTCAATATAGTGAAAGGATACAACCCTGATGCACATTTTTCCTAATTTCAAGCCATGCAATATTCCTTTGTTCTTTCATACAACTAACTGTCTTTTGTTCCAAATATAGGTTTGTCATAAGTACAATACTGTGTTCTGGAATTCTCATTCTCAAAGTTATCCATGGTTTGTCATGACCCACACAGTTATAGCCTTGGCAAAATTAATAAAACAGAAGTAAACATCTTTCTGGTATTCTCTGTTTTCAGTCCAGATCCATCTGACATCAGTAATGAAGTCCAGGTGACACTTTTTCTCAGTAGCATGGGACTGAGACAAAGTAAGCGTTCACTGTGCTCCTTCGCAGACACCTAGTCTCCCTGAACAAGTTTAATGCAAGGGAGCAACCGCAGCTGCCCCACTCTTGATTACATCAGGACTTGCTGAAGAGTCTCTCTATGGTTTTGTTTTTTAATCTCTCTAAAACCAAAAACTAGTTATTTTTGTATGTCATATCTCAACTAATATGCATAAACCCTTTGATGTCAAGCACATTGTCTCAATTTTTTTCCCCCTCAGTATCTTTCCACACAGTAACTAAGTGTCCCTTCCTAGGTATTGCCAGAAACAAGTTACTTTTGAGTAGATTCCACCCCCTGGCAATCGTGTGTGTGCCTGAGTCGAACTGTCCTCTGTAAGGCTTTTCAATGACTGTTCTGTAGAAGTTGCCTTTCTTCTGCACCTTTGGACACATTTGAGCCTCCAAACCTTTGGTTGACACCTGAATGCATTGAGCATTCACACCAGCATTCAAGGACTTCCTCTGAGACAGGAAGGTCCTACAACACTTCTGGGACTATGTAACTCGTTTCAGATAGTGCTTAGTACAGTGCCATCCTATAGCATGATACATGCATAATACATACAGCTACTAAATTTTTCTGGAGTATATTACTGAAGTGTCAGACAAAAAAAGATATTCAAGTAATTTTCAATCAACTAAGTAATTTTTCTTTCCATTTTCTACTCCACTCAATAAACTAAGACAGCCATTTCCCTGTTCGTGTATAATACCTGTCATACTTATTGCCTAAAACCCAACTGTCCCTTGGTTATCTAACTTCAGCCGAGCCTTCATAGCTGTGTCTCAGTCTGGATTATAAATTCTCACTCTTCTTGAAATCACAAGAACGTGGAGAGTAAAGTTGTCTGAGGTAACGTGAGAGAAGAGACTACCTGTGAACCTTCTGAGCAACACTGGCAAGAGCACCAGTGATAATTATGTGTTGTAATAACTATCTGTAAGGATTATTGATTAGAGCAGAAATGGATGCCAGCAGAAGGGCTTTAGTCAGACAGAAGTGGGAGTTAGATGTCAGATGTAATTGTGGGTTTCAAAGTGAAAAGGCACAGACAGGAGCCAAAGAAAATCTACCAATACCAATACCAAAACCTGTATAAGTTTTGAGACTCTCTGTTAAGTGATTAAAGGGGGGGAAAAAGAATGCCAACGAAAGCAAGTCTTTATACTATGATTAAAAATTAAATATCAAACAATAACAGATCACTGAACCAGACTGGACAAAATGACAAAATTGATGTCAATAAATACCCCAGAAAATTACGATATTGAAATCAACCTTATTAAGAAGCTGCAGCACTCGCCTACAGAGCCTCCGGCTATCTGGACTCCTGTGGTGGTGTGCCGCTGGAGTCTCTGCTGCAACCACAGGTACTCCAAATACCAGTAGGGCCACCCATGGTGGAGAATGTTCTGTGGAATTTCCAGGCAAAGACCGATTGAGAAGAACCTAGAGCTCTCCTTTGGAAGCAATTGGCCAGTGGAAACCTTATCAATAGCAATGTGCCCCTATCTGGTACACGGCCAGAAGAGGAGTCCCTCAAGTTGGCAGCCAAAATATATCTAACTAGTAAGCACTGCCTGCCCAAAGTAAGTTAATCTTAAAGATGTGGTTGGGGTGAACTTTTAGGGTCATCCCTTGCTGATGTGACATACTTTAAAATAGATGAACCAGCTATAAACATCCATTAGTAATTGAAGTATGGAACATACAATTATGAATACAAAAACTGGAAGTCATCAAAAATGAAATGGAATGCATAAAGATCGATGTTCCAGCCATTAATGCACTGAAATTGACCAGATTACGTTGGGTAAATATGCTGAAAAAGCCGTTGGTTAGGTTGGGACCTCTAAAGGAGCAAAAGCAGTGAAACCTCTATAAATGGTTGTGCTGTTGTTAGGTGCTGTGGGGTCGATCCAGACTCATACCGGCCCTATGTACACCAGAAACAAAACACTCCCTGGCCTGCACCAGCTTCACAGTTGCTCTGTGTGAGCTCATGGTTGCTGCCACTATATCAATCTGCCTCTTGGAAGGTCGTCTCTCTTTTTGCTGTCCTCAACTTTACCAAGCATGATATCCCCTGACCACATTTCCAAAGTATATGAGATGAAAGTTTTGCCATCCTCACTGCTGGGGAGCCTTCTAGCTAGCTATACTTCTTCCAACACAAGTATGTTCTTTTTCTTTTGGCAATATGTGATATAGTTAATAATTTTTGCCAAAAGCATAACCCAAAGGTATCACTTCAACTTCAGTCGTCCTTATTCATTATGTAGCTTTCACATACATATGAGGTGATTGAAAGTATCAGGCTTCAGTTAGGAACACCTTAAGACCAGAAACGGGCTGCAGTAGGCTTAGTCCGCTTTCAAGCAGTGCCTACATATGGGGCAGAACCATCTATAAACCAGAGACCCACTCTTCATCCTTAGCCAAGGGATAATAAGGAACTACCCATCGGGTGATGGGTGCGAACTGAGAGATGAAAGGTAATGTAACAGGAGTGGAGACCGTGGGCATTTGGATCACTTACTTATATATCTAACGTGTGCCTACTGGTCCTGCTCAAGCCCAGTCTTAGAAACATTACTTCTACTTAATGATACAGTGCTGCTGTGCATGTCTGGCTTTTGGGGGTAGGGGGAGCATGTCAGAGAACACTCAGTTCATGATGGGCATCTCAGGCCACATGGCAATTTAGTGACCCGTGATTAAGCATTCAGTCTCTACTAAGGCTCAGTCACAAGTCAACATCTGCTTCTCAAAGGTAGAGGAGTTACCTACAAAGATGGACAGGGATTTGCTCTACAATCCAATGGGTCTCTGCTGAGACTCACCAGTAGGAATCTGTGAAAGATGCCAAACAACACCACTGTCTGATACTAACACTTCAAGTACCAGTGATTGGATCTGCTGGGCCAAGCAGCAGAATGGCTTGCACAGCAACCTGAACCTACCTTCCAAACCATTGAGAATCACAGTCTAGCCAAGTTGACTTATAACATGAAATTTCACAGATCTCTCTGAAATGTTAAAGAGCAAAAATACCACCTTGAACGATAAGGTACTTGTGACCCAAGCCACGGTATTTTTAATCAACTCATGTAAAAGCTAGGCAATAAATAAGCAAGAACGATGACAATTAATGCACTAGAACTATGATTTTGGTGAAGAATATTAAATATTCTTGCATTGTCAGAAAAAAGCAAATCTGTGGTAGTAGATGTAAATGCTCTCGGGGAAAAGAAGGATATCAAGATTTCATTAAGTACTTAGGAGGAGCCAGTCCTTAGAGAAGGGCACCCTGCTTGCTAAAGGAGAGGTTAAGTGAAAAAGAGAATGTTCAACAAGAGGAACTGACAAAACGGCTACAACAATGGCCTCAAGTGTAGCAATACTTGTGAGGATGGCACTACTTCATTCTGCGGTACACAGGTTAGCTTCACTATGGGTCGGAAATAACTCAACAGAACGTAACAACACCAACAAGAAGTAGTTCCTGCCCATCTCTATGTTTCTTATATCAGAAAACCGTCAAACTCTCTTCCCCCCACTACCTCTCTATGCCTAGTAATTCCTGGCAAGTCCCTCACAAACCAACAAGAATATATATAAACACATCAATGTAAATTATGAACGTGAAACCCTGAATCAACCTATTCTTTTTTTTTCCTTTTTAAATTTTTATTTTAAAATTTTACTGGGGGCTCATAGAGCTCTTATCACAATCCATACATACATCCATTATGTCAAGCACATTTGTACATCTGTTGCCATCATCATTCTCAAAACATTTTCTTTCTACTTGAGCCCTTTGTATCAGCTCCTCATTTTTTCTCATCCCTCCCCACCCCTGAATTAACCTATTTCAATGCTGTTTTCCTTAATCATTCACAATGTGATAATAAACTAGAACTTACTTTGGTTTTTATAGGTCCTGGTTGAATTATGTTGAATCGCATTCCATATTTACCCCATTCAGCTGCAAGAGATCTAAAAATTCAAGTAGATAACACAGACTCAAAATGATTATACCATATGTTAAAACATAATAACCTAAGTCACTGCATGCTTTCTACGTGCCAGAGGCTATAACCCAAACAGGTAGGAACTACTATCATTCTATATTACATATGTTACACATGAAGAAACTGAGCTACCTTGAGGTTAAAGCATTTGTTCAAGAACATATGAACCATAAGCTAAACTCAAGAAGTCTAGCATCAGAGTTTGTGCCTTTCAAGTACTATGCTATAACATTAAAACCAAGAAGATACATGTCTATACATATATATATAGTCTTCATTAATTACTACAAAAGGTGAAAGATTCATGCCCCTCCATGTTTTCAGCCCTGCATTTAGAAAATTCTATGTAACTTTACTTATAACCTTATATACACCTGTTTCATAACATCTGTCACCTCACAAGGGCTTTAATTACAAAAGAGATGGATTGCAGAGATTTAAAATATTAATCACATCCATGTTAAACTAGCTTTTAATACAATTGGTGAATTAAGCATGAAAGGAAATGGGAGTGTAATATAATTTTCTAAACACACCAATGCAGAAATAAGAACATAGAACCCTAAATCAATGTGCTTCAAAGACTTGATGTTGTTATTATTCGTTTTCACTGTATCAGCCCCAGCTGATGGCAACCTTATGTAAAACAGAACCAAGACTTGGCAAGTCTTGTACTATCTTCACGATTGCACAAGTGCTGGAAGATTAGAGTCCTTGATTGGTATTTCTAATTTGTATTATCTAAACTTATCTTAGGAAGATATATTGGCCTGTGTATTTGTGTCTACATGCTCTTCATATAATTTTTATAGATGACTGTGGTAGCTTGACAGAAGCATATAATACAAATGAAAGATAATGTGAAATTAAGAGAGAATTAGAAACAAGGCTGTGGTAGTTAGGTCTATTGTGCCAACCTGGCCATAGGAACAGGTGGGATTAATAAGGTCACATTATGATTGGAGGGAAAAGAGATAAATGGCTCTGCAAGGCTCACCCCCATCTCTCTTGCTCTCTGGCGATCAGACCAGCATGCTGCTGCTTTAGCTAGTTCTCTGCCTCAACCTGTGTGCTACACCAACTGTGGGACCAGCCAACCCCTGGATCATGTATCGTGTTGCTAGAGCTTGAGCCTTCTTTGAGACCTGCTTGGCCACACTGCTGATACATACATCGCTTGAGCTTGAGGCTAGTGGATCCAATCGCCTTGCATTGCTTGAGTTCAGTATTTCATCTGGGTCTGCTTCAGTAGATTCCCGAGCTATTGACTTGCTGACCCACTTGCTGTTTGCTGCCTGTGGGCAGACTCTGCCTGCCTTTCCCTGACTCTTCTGTTTGCTTCCTTGACCTTGGATCTGGCAGACCACATGAGTTGAAGAACTTCCAGTGTATTAACTGTTCCATGAAGGTGAGTTGAACTGAGCCCTCTGTAATGCTGTGTGTACTAATTAGCTGTTAGAGTTCTTTGTGCTGTATAAACCTATCCTCATATATATATAATCATAAGTGTCCTGGTTCTGTTTCTCCAGAGAACCCTGCCTAACACAATGGCTAATGATAGACAATAAAGCCAGGAATAAACCTACTACCTAAATGTACAATGTACTGTGAAGTTCCATTTAATTGCAACAGGTAGATCATAAATTTGTAAAAAGGAAAGCCTTGCCAGTTAACACAATTCACATTGGCCATAAAATAAGAAAAAAAGAAAGAAAACAAGTTGTTTGGAAAAATCACAATTCTTTTTCTTTCTTTTTAAAATCATTTTATTGGGGGCTTGTACAACTCTTATCACAATCCACACATCAATTGAATTAGGCATGTTTGTACATATGTTGCCTTCATTCTTTTCTAGACATTT